CCAAAGACGCGCACTCCGGACGCGCCCCAGGGGAGGTGACGGACACGACGAGACCGGGGACACGGGACCTGGAGAGACAAAAAGAACCTCAACGGGACACAGGGAACAGTTTGGACATACAGAACTGGCACAGGGTGGACAACTCAAACAATAAGCCACAAACCACAGGGAACGCAGACAAACAGAAAGACACCAATGACGGAAACATGGGACCCGGGGACACTAAAGGGGACAATGGAGGGACCACACCAGGGGGCACACAGGGACGAACAGGGGGCATGGGCACAAATAGACGGGAAGGACACACAGGAGACACAAAGGAACCGAAAGGGGACAAAGGCACAGAAGGACGAGGAGAATATGTGGGGGCCACAAAGGGACTAGAGGACACCGTGGGACGAGGGGGAACCACAGTGGACACAAAGGGACTAGAAGGGAACGATGATGGCACAGGACGGGGAGTGAATACAGGGGCCAAGGGATCTAAGGGCAAGGGGCAACGTGGAGCAGAGGGGACCTTTGGGGAATGAGAAGTAGGGCACGCTGGGTCGGGCCGTGGTCTGCCCTGAGGCCGAGGGGGAGCCGGGACCGGGGGGACTGAACCCTTGTGGGTAGGAGCACCGGCTGACGGGACTGGGGAGTCTGGAGCCGACAGGCGTGGCGTGGGCGGAGCCAGGGCTGGGGCCTTGGAAGCCGACACCAGAGCAGGAGCCGCGGCCGCGGGGGCCTCGGACGCCAGAGCAGGGGCCTCGGACGCCAGAGCAGGGGACGGGGCTAGGAGCTCAAGCACTGGAGTCACGGGGAGCACTGGAGTCACGGGGAGCTGAGGCAGCTGCACAGGGGACTGGGCAGGGGGCACCCACTCCAGGTCAGCAGGGGGTAGTGCAGCTGGAGCAGGAGGCGCAGGAGCCTCGGAGGGCGCCGCCGACTCCGGGCCAGCAGGGGGGCGCCGCCAACTCCGGGCCAGCAGGGGGGCGCCCTCAAGGTCTCCTCAGCCCTCTCCAGCTGTTGAGGTGGGGCCACTGGGGAGACAGTGGCGAACTCACTCCGGAGTTGCTCCAGGAGTGCAACTGCCTCCGGGGAACCCCTTATGGCAGGTTCACCCACCACCTGCCAGTATAGACCCTGGAAGGCAAAAAACTTCCTTGCGGTCTCCAGGCAGGGCCAGGGCGCTGCAGCCTCAGGAAACACGGGGGGGGCGCTGCAGCCTCAGGAAACACGCGGGGGCGCTGCAGCCTCAGGAAACACGCGGGGGCGCTGCAGCCTCAGGAAACACGCAATTATCTATGATATATAATTGCCAACATTTCTAAAGAATGCTTTCAGCACCTTGTTGAATCAATGCCACGTAGAATTAAGGCAGTTCTGAAGGCGAAAGGGGGTTAAACACTGAAATAAGACTGAGGCTACGGTCCACACGGGGGGCGTATGTCATCGGCGAAGCAGGAGAGGCCAGAATGGCGTCGGACACGCCCCTCTGTTTGCGACGCTTCCGCGTCTTTCGTGGGGCAGAGACAGCAGGGGCGACGGGGACTTCGGACTGCTCGGACGGCGAAAGAAGAAGTCCTCCGCAGTGCAAGTACACCTGCCTGTTTATGCTCTCCGCTGCCCTGCTTCTGAGTTGCGCGTGGTACTGCCGCGCTGCTTCCTCCCGGCTTGTGTCATCCGGTGGGGAGATCCCTTCTAAGACGTCGCGGGCACGGAAAGCAAGGGCTCTGGCAGCTGGGTCCTCCCTTACCTCTGGCTGCTGGAGCCAATAAAGTACCTCGCCGGTGAGGTGGCGATCGATATTCGTCCTCCGTGAGGTGAGTCGTTTTTGCGAACAGCAACGATAGGGACAGGCAAAACATGGGGTAACATTACAATGACCGGATTGGGGAAACAAACGGAAACGCGGACTAAATACAATGGACTAATTGACAACGATCAGGAACAACTGGTAAACACGGGGAATCCACATGCGGTTAACGAGGGGGTGTGGCACACAAGAGGAGTGGACGATCGGGGCATGACAATTATGTTCAATTTATTTGTGTTTGGATTAATTTGTTTTTTTTTATATATATAAATCTATCCTGACATATAGGAGTTTGGCATCTTGAGCAAGG